ATATGTATACATACATAAAAAAAAAAGCCCAAAATTGAATTGCATAGATAAACTTGAATAATGCAATTTATATTGTACATATGGTTTATAATCATATTATTATTATTCAATCCCTGCCTACACTCTGTCTCGCCTTTTCTAAAATCTATGTATGCAGTTACTTAAGAGTATTTCTTAAAAGAATGGAAATGATAAAATTCAAGAATAAAGATTAACAAAAAAAAAAAAAAAGGTTGAAACGTTGGGATATGAATGTTTTTTTTGCTATTGGAAATATTATGAGGAGAGTAGAGGAAACTCTTTCAATAATCTCGATTTTGCGATCAAAATGATAAATTTCCATATTTATAATATAATCAGAAGATAATGGCGCGCAAGAACAATAATGTAATAAATAGACAAAATATGTACTAAGATGAATATGGCAGACTTTTTTGGTTCTTTGTCGATTTTTGTTTTATTTGTTGTAGTACCTACATAATATTTGAGTTTCTTATATTTTCCATCTCTTCATAATTTTTTTGTTTTTCTAGCTTGTTTCTAACTTAAAAACAATTTTTTGTCGGGTTTCTCTCTTTTTTTTTTGGTATGGTTCATACAATTGTTTGAAAAGAAATATTAAGTTTAAATATTTTATTTTTGGTAAGAATGTGTGTATATATTAATTTAAAATTAGTGAACTAGATACATTTTACGTTTAGAATTTAATTTTATTAACGGAATTTTTTTTATGGGTATTACAAAACCCTTAAACGATCTTTGAAATAATAGGACAATCTAAACTTGGAAAGATTGTATATTATTACTTAGTATTAAGCTTAATCAGTTTATGTAATAAATTTTCTTGCTTTGTTTCTCTGTTGTGATTGTCTATGCAATAATTTTTCCGAAGACTGATTTTCAATGATTTCGGTACGATGTGTGTACAAGATGTCATCTCTCTATTGTTATTATCATACCCCTACCAACCGATTTGAATAATTCAGAATACAGTTTTGATAACCGAATACAATATATTGCAAATTAAAAACTCATTAAAAACTTTTTACTTCGAAATTTTACTTTAATTCTGTACAAGGGTATTTTAATCAATATTCCGATTAAATATAATACCTATATACCCTTAAATCTGAATTACGCTGTGCTTATAACAGTGAACAATAAAATTATACATGATATACTTTTTGTAGCCGACTTTTGATGTGTAACATTTTGTGAGTGGGATATTTAAGATAATGCAACACTAGTTCTGGAGCATATTGTTCGAAGTGTGTCAAAAAATTTTACAACTCTAGTAGTTTAGACGCAGATGTTTTTCACATGCCATTTCATGTAAAATGTTCTTAATGGTAATGCCAATTAATTGGTTGTGAACTTTACTATATTGTTGTATTGTCGAAGTCAACGTATCTTATAATAAGTTTAATAACTATAATGTTTTTTTTTTATTTTTCGTATATAAGCATTGAACTCGATTGTGCATTTTTTCTAAATATGTACAACTCTAGTCATAGATTAAGATAACCATCTAGATTTGGGTTGTTTTTATTTTTTTCATTTTTACTGTATAAGAGCTTATAAGTTAAGACAATTTTGCCGTTTTTTTTTTTTTCTGATTTTAGTATCTTGTAACTTGTAATAATGTTCTTTTTACCAACTTTTGTATTAATTTCAGATGAAAATAATTCAATTTTTTTTTTTTCATTTTGTGTATTAATAATTTTTTAACAAGTGAATATCGAGTATAATCCTAATAAATTTAATACATATGTATATTAATATAGATTTAAATGTGTTCTATATGGAGCTGTATATATACAAATATGCATTTGTGTGTGTGTATTTTATTTTATTGATAAAATTTCAATTGTTCTCTCTATGGTTTTTCATAATAACGATCCTCTTTTTTCTCCCCTTTTTGGAATTGAAAAAAAAAATGTGATAGAATAGATTATCTCATTTTGTTATAGGACTAAAAGATAGAGAAAAACTTGACACAAGGGAAAAGAGGCATTAAGGCGAATAAGTTCTTCATAATATTAAAGGAAAATATATTTTTTTTTTATTCGATGTAAAATTTTGAGATATTTTCTCTTTTAAATAATTGCAAAATCCTTTCGGAATTATTAAAAGTATTTTTGGGAGTTTAATAATAATATTGTTTGAATACTTATATATTAATTATTATTATATGTATGCTTCGAGTATACTGCCGAAAATGCTATTAAAAAATATTAATTAATTACAAAATAAAAAAATATTAATTGAAAATAAATTCGAAATTGTCCAAAAGTTCAATTGATTCCAACTACCATTTTGTAATAAATTGAAATTATTTGAATTCAAAAATTTCCTGAGGAAATGAAGCTATAGTTCAATAGTTCTTAAATTCTTGCATTAATTCAAGATTAAAGTTCTTAAACTTTTGCATTTTAGAGTTTTTTTTTTCGAATACTGGCTGTAACAATTTCGTAGTCCTATAGTGTTTTTGAGTACTGATGGTAACAAACAAAATTTAGCTTATGTGCGACAATTGCTAAATTGTATAATAAAAGTATATTATATTGCAATTTTAATACAAGGGCATTACGTATGTATAAAAAACTCCGAACAAAATCAAATTTCGAAATATCAAATGTCCTAAATTACAATAATTTAGGGGAAATTATAAATAATTATGGGAATTTTTATTTAAATTAAAATTATAATTACATATATTGATTGTATATTGGAATAGACATTACAAATTCATAAAATAAAAGCTATAATATATGACAATTTCTATTATAGGTTTCAGTTAGCGATGTCATTGGAATTTACCTCAAAAAACTCACAATATAAAACGAAAATAATAATAATGTGTTTTGTACATTCTTGTTTTTTTTTAAATAACAATCGAAAATATAGAAAAAATAAAATAAAACTACAACCATTTTGAATTGCAAATTAAGTTTTAAAATATAAGCACATTTCTGCACATTTGAAATAGTTACGCTTTCGCCGAATATATTGTATATAATGTAGACCTATAGACGATAACGATTTCAGTTTTTAAAATTGAAAATTTATTTACTTTAATTGGTAAATTGAAAAAATTTTCAAAATGAAAACAAATATTTTTTTTTTGTGTTTGTTAATGCAATCGATTTTGTAATTTATGTTAATTTAAGAATTTGAATTGCAAAAGAATGACAATAAAAAATAAATATATTTTTTTTTTTTTTAAATGAAATTCTATTTAAAAATTTTACAATAATAAATGAATGCAAAAAAAAACACACACTTAAATAATAATATTATTGAAATAAATTCCAAAAAAATTTCATATGCAAAAATTTCATTCTTAAATTTTATTCTTTAAGATTTGGTTTTTATTCAAAACTTTATAGTTTTTATAATATTATGCAATAATATAGTCGTGTCTTTTTTGATCTATACCTTCCTACTAAAATTACGATATTTACGATAAGTATGTCAAAGTTTTTAAGTATATCATTTTAAAAATTTTAGGTGTTATGCAAACTATAATTAAGGAATTTGATTATTTCTAACTCTTGATGATCATATTAAGTCTATCTTTAAAACAATCGAACAAGAAACCTTACAAACTTGTGTTTTCTTGCAAAGTCCCATGAAAAATGTAAACGGATTTAATTATTGTTTAAATTTGACTTGACAATAATAGTAAGTGACAATAATAATTCTGTGATTAGCGGATTACTAAGTGATAGTGATATTTATCGTAAAAATTTAGATATTGTTATTGCAAACACAAACCAAATCATATACGAACAATTTGAGTCTATAATAAAGTTTATATAAGTCTTTATGATTAAATTTCAATTTACGCTAAATTATATATTGAGTAGATGCCTCATCTTTACTGAAAATTGACTAATTGAATAAATGTTTTACAAATATCATATTTATTAAATTATATTAGTGCTACATATAAAAACTTTGAGGCGTTCACTCTATTAAATTGTTTTATACGTATTTTTAATTTAATTTAAAAAAAAAAAAAAAACAAAATATTCCAATTTAATTGTCAACCAATGAAAATTTAGTTCACTCCTTCCCGTAAATTTAGAACGTATGTATATATGCAAATATAGTATAGAAATAAATAGATGTATTTCATAAATTACAATTTTATTATGTGTATATCCATTAATTGCTTCTAATAATTAAGACCTGTAGACATTTTCCATTTGCAATTTTAAAAAAAAAACACATTAAAAAAAAAATTAAGTAAATATTCATATCGAAACTTTCCCGAGTTATGCAAGACTTTTATTTACGAAAAAATTACAACGTGACATTCAAATTGCGCTGACTGTATTACAAATACAATTTAACAATTACTGGTATTTGTCAGAAATATTATTGCTGGTTGAGGTTTTATAGTAGAAGCTCTGGGAAAAATATTCTATTGCATTGCATCCTTTCACCAGTTCCTGTGGGTAATTTTAAATAAAACCACAAAAATTGGAAATTTCTAATTACTTGAGTCAGATTTTTCTTACGTTAAATAATGTTAAATGTCATTTTGGTATCATACGATATTATTAACTGTCATATATATGACAATTTGTGACATTTCATTTCCGATTTAAGTCTTCTGGATATTCTATTTTTTTGAATGGAAACTAAAATACGATTTAAATATTTTACGTAATAATTGAAAACGATTTTTTTGCTCGTTTTTTTACAAAAAAAAATTCTTTGTGTTTTTTAAGCGTGTTGGAAAATTTAAATTGTATAATTATTGCAAATAAATGTGTGTGTATGTCTGAACGTATATGTACGATATATAAATTTAAATTTATTTCTTTTTAATGATATTTTAGAGTGAATTTAAATAGGAATTTAATTGAATTCAAATTATATACTGCTCAAGTTTAAAGAGTGTTAATTAAATAAAAAAAATTTTATAGAATAAATTAAATGAAATTGGAAATAAAATTCTTATATATTATTAAAGTATATTATGTACTCACTTTAAATATTCCGTTGAATTTCCTAGTGTAGTAGGTAAAAGTAAAGCATTTAAAAAAAAAAATTGACTATCGTACGATTTTTCGTTTACGCACTTAAAATATTCTTAACGAAAAAACGAAACAGGAAGAGTTTTTTTTTTCAAATATTTTCTCCTTTTATTTTAATGTTGCCGTTATTATTTTAATCATGTTCATTGTTGTATTCTATTTTTGTTGTTTATTATTTTTTTCTCTTCTATATTCAGCTGATATACAATATTCTCTATTGCTAATTACAAGTTGTTCTCTTAATAATCAGTTATCGAACATTTGTTCTTGTTATCGTTTCTCTTTCTAATTTTTTATCTGAAAATAGAAGAGAGAGAATAAAAAATTTAATATTAGTTCACTATAAATACGTATATAATGGAGCATCTACAATGTTGTGGTGTAAAACAAATAACTAAAAAAAAACCAAATAGCTAAAGCTCACACTTATTAATTGTAAAATTGAAAAATACAAGGTAAATAATTGCAAATGAGAATATATACAGAAGGGTGATCGTCTTAACTCTGTAATACGATGAAAAGTGAGCCGGCTGCACGAGAACAGCTTTACCAACTTTTACAACAATGTGAAAATTCGACAAACTTATCTTAATTAATTTTCTTGTGTTGTGTTGCAGGCAGACAATCTTGACAAGTAAATGGTTTGCTATTGAGTTTAAATTCTTTGATAGTAGCTTCTCTTTATCTTCACTCTAAGAAACCATCTAAAGAAAATGAGTAATTGAGGAACTCTCTCCGCCTGTGCTTTTATATCTTTAAGATCACTATCCTTTTACTGAAACAAGCTATATGTAGAAAATCCTATTTAAAATTTAAAATAATCAAATGAGTAAAATGGTCGAAATGAAATGAAGCTAAATTTTTAGCATATTTTTTAAAATTATTTTATTGAAAGCCTGTTAAAATTTGTAATTGGAGAACACCTTAATGATATTTACCTTATTATAATAAGGATATTTAGAACAAAGTACAGATAAAATCAGTAATTTTGCATGCTTAATGCAGAAAACATAAAAAAATGGTAAGAAATTATGAAAACTCTTATATTACAGCTATTAATTTCCTTTCAAACTATTTATATACTTTTTATATTGTAATATAGGTGCACATTTATAGATCATTTAATAAGGTGTCAAATTTATATAACAAAGAAGAAAGAATACAGATGATAACTCATGAATTAAAAACTAAGCAAACATCCAATTACTTTGTGTTAATTTGTTATATGATGTAACATGAAATTTTCTTCAAGTTTCTAGATAAATTAATTGAGTATGAATTAGAAGAAAATAAGAGAGTTTCAATTAAATATTTATTTTAATAATATGTTAGCTGATTTATTAAATTTTTTTTATGTTATACGTTAAGAAAATAATAACTTGTTGGACTAAATAACTTGTTTGACATTTCAAACCCCTAAACTAATTCGATTCCGAATTATATGATTGCGTAAAATATACGTTAGAATACAAAAATAAAATTTCGTATTGTTTTATATACTCTCAACTGCAGCAGAGAATCCCAGACTCCTAGCCTTTTCGACCCTACCTAAAAAGGATCCAAATGCAGACACTGTTACAAAGCCAAAAGCGATATTTACAAACAATGCTTCGCAAGAAAAAAATTTCAGAATGCAGACACAGTCAAGCTGAATTTAAGAAAAAGGCAAATTTCATTGATAAATACAATGACGCAGTCTAATCTGAAATAGTATAAAAAGTTTAAGTATTAGACGCCTAAAATCAACGAGTTTACAAGGAGTCTGACAAAGTTGTGTGGTTCTACCTTGATCTCCATAAAAATTTTAAGCAAATTCTCATTCTCATTTCATATTCAGAACGGCAACACTATAAAATACTATATTATTATGATTATTATCTTATTTTCACGTAATTATTATTAAACATTTAATAATAATAAACGAAAACGACAAAATTAAGTCAGTATTAAACTTTTATTTTGTTTTTTATTTCACCGTATACATAATTAACCAAGCGAATAATATTAAATTCGTGCAAAACTCTCCTAATCATATAGTTAACAACATAATTCACAAGATCGTTTATTAAATCTGATGAATATTAGTTGCATTGCAATGAGCATTGCTTAATAGCAAATTTTTAATTTTATTCTCATTTTACAACGTGTCTTTATATACTAACACATATTTTGGTATTTAAACTTGGCGAGCATATTATATAACATCTACATAACGCAGACTTACTATGAAAATTTTTAAGATTTTATGATGTTATAATATTCAAACACCGCAAAGTTCCTATATTATGGAAGAATAAAATTTAAACGCAAGTTTTACCACAAGCGTTTCGGTTATAATAGCTGCAGCAACATTTATTTTATGTTAGTATGTAGGAACCATTAAATTTGTATTCAATTAAATTAAAATACGCATTCAAAATCTTTATTAAGACATTTCGAAGTTATGATCCATACCATGCGTTTTCTTTTATATTAAAAAGAAATAATTTGAAAATTTTTAAAACGAAAATTTGATTTAACCCTTTCGTGGGGGGGGGGGGGGGGGGGGGGAATGGACTAATTTGTTGTTTTTCGGATATTTTGTGTGGTAAATTGAACTTTCAATTGTCTTTTCTGAACATTTTGTTAGGAAAGGGCCAACGCAGACTATGCCCTTCTCCTTCGACATGCCTTTTCAGCTTCGTACTTATTTTAAAAGCAAACACATTAAATTTTTGCATAATTAGAAAGAATTGTGGAGAAGAATAGGAAAAAACATTTCTATTCTTTTATCTTAATGGAAATTTCTTCATGCAACTGCAGAACAGATGGATGACGTAATCAAAGGAACGAGTTAAAGGCAGAAAAATTCATTAAAAAAATTTTTCTCCTCGGATTGGACTCGAACCACCGCTTTCTAGGCGGACGCTCTACCAACTGAGCTACAGAGGCATGAAGAAATTGCCGACGAAATGTTCTCTACATTGCTTATACTGTAATTCACATGATTACTAAGTATTTGTTTTGTTTACATCGATTGCTACATACAATCTACTATTGAAACACACAATAAGAAGAACATATAATATATTTATAGGATTGTGCCTATTGCACTAATTAAATTATGAATTTTACTAATACAACATCATAGTTGCGGAATTAATAAGAATGTGCTTATTACATGTGATTATTACATACATTATTACATACATTATAGAATGTGCTACTAATTTATCTTAATGGAAATTTCTTCATGCAACTGCAATTTCTATTCTTCTTGAAGTTGAAAGAATTTTCCAGACCTGAAACAATAGTTTAATCAAATGAACAATTTTGTTAAAACAAAAAGCAGTAAATTGTTATGAATATGAACTTGTATGGCATATGCTGCTGGTGCATCAGTTAGATATTTGGGATATTTAGGAGATAATTGATAATCGAAGATTTTTGCCCTTATTTCTGACATACACCCAGCCTAATGAATAATCCACAAGCAATAAGTATTGTTATAACATCTAATTCAATAAAAACTGAAAGGGTTAACAATCATGTAATATAATAATGACAACCGCAATTGCAAAAAAAAAAAAAATAAAAGATAAGCTAACTATGCATGTAAATAAAATACGTACATGCCTATAATAAAACTTGATAGAAGGATAACTATTAAAGCTATGAAAAAAACAAGCTGTGATGATGATATTCATTTTGACGCTGCCATCGTTGGAGGTCATCGCTTTACCTTATGGCAAGTGATGAATTTATTATTATTATTATTTTTTTTATTTAAACGCAAGTTTTCATTTCGGCTTCCCGCATAGTTTTATTAACAGACCAAAAGAAAAAAAAAGAGAACATAAAAGAAACGAAATATTAATAAAAATTTCAATATTCACCTTTCCCATTTAAAATGGTAAAACTTTTAAGTTCAATGAATGAATTGAATCCTAAAATATGCATGTATGTATGGCATGTGTGTAGACGTACAAAATGTTAATTTATCTTAAATTTTCTTTTAATAAGCGTTTAGAATATGATAATGTGCATTAACAAAATATGGATAGCATAAGTAATTGGAACGTAAACTTTTTTATTAAAATATTTTATTTTGTTTTTTGATTTCCTGAGGCAAAGTTAAAACTTAAAAGTTATTTGGCAAAGTTAAAACTATTAAAATATAGACATTTTAATATATAAGCATTAAGCACTGAAAATTTCTGTTGAGCTTCATTAAAAATATGCTTTAGAGTATTTGAATTTTTTGATGATTCTATCAGTTTCAAAGAGGTGTGCATTTTATATCAAAATATGGATACTAAGCTGTTTAGTTTAGCTACTGATTTTTTGGAAATTTATTTAATACATTTATATAGGTGTGGTAGGTAATTTTTGGTAATTTTTCATATTAAACGTTAAAATTATGATTTTAAGTTTTATAAGACGATGTTAAGATTGATTATATTATTATGTACGTATGTCAGCGATAACATATATGTAGATACGTGTTTTATATATATAATATATTCCTGTATAAATGAACCTACTCGTAAATAAGAGAAATTTCAAACTACTGAAATTCCTATACTTTGATAATTGAGGAGATCCGCCTATTCAGTATTTGTAAAAGTTGTTTTTTAATTCGTTGGGCTATATAATAAAAGCATCTCAATTTTAGAGATTTAAGTAATGTACATATAGAGTTGGTATACCGGACAATATAGTAATTTTGATACCGTGGTCATTTAGGTAGAGCACTAAACTTTAAAATGTTCGATAAATTCGAAAATAATCTATATGTAATTTTCGTGTAACAAAAAGTGTGAAACTTTTAATGTGTTAATTTGAAAATATATTTAAGAGTGAACCTAAATTTTATGTTCAACTCGGTGATATACGGTTGGATATATAGATGTATACTTTAAGAGAGCTTTATTAAAACAATCAAAAATCAGAAAATGAAAAAATAATTTTTCTTAATTTTTATTCAAAATTTTTAATATAATTTAAATTTAGAATATACATTTATATATACATAATGGTTGCATGCTACCATATTGTAATTAGTATAGATAGTATATGTAACCAAAATTTTATCATAAAAAATACAATTTTATTAATTTACTCATATCAACTTGATTTTTACAAATTGGACAAAATTTACGATCCAGAAGACATCTTCTTATACACAAATAACAGAAAATATGACCACAACTTGTAGATGTTGGTTGTCTTTTTAATGTAGAATTAAAACAAATTGGACAATTTATTGATATTTTAGTATCATTTTGTTTCATTAAGGATGCTGGTTTTTTACGATTTACAGAATTTGACGAAAATCTTTTTGATACTTGAAATTTTTTTTTAATTTCACTATTTTGCGATGTTACTGTTATTGAACTTCTGCTTCGAAAATTAACTGGTGTTATACTATTTTCTTCACTAGCATAATTATGGTCGCTATATTCGATATTTTCCTCTTCATATTCATTTTCGGAATGATTAATAAAATATTCACTAATAAATTCTACATCATCGCTTTCCGAATCATTATTTCCAGAATCATTTGTTATTTGATCATATATAACGTCTATAATATCATTGTCTTCAGACATTTTTAAAATTTAAAATTTCTTTAAAATATTAATTATTGAAAATTTTGTATGTGTGACAGATACATTGTATTTTTGAATTTTGATTTGTTTATTCAATCAAATAATTTGAACATAAAATCAATTTGTTTTTTTTTTTTTTTGTTTTTATTAGTAGATGAGAGTAGACGAGAGTATCAGAGAAGCAAAAGAGCTTCTGCCTTCGTTACTGAAATTAATCTTGTTTTTCATTATTACAATTAGTTTCTTGTTACGATTGATTTCAATGTAGAATATAATGTTGAATAAAGCTGTGAAGGACATAATAATTAGAACCATAATCACATACTTGAATTTGACACATACTTAACACACGTATGTATACATACATTCGTTTATTTTTGCTATAGACAATCCGAATAATATACGATTTAAGTTTTGATTTGTATGCTCCACAATATTTCTTAAGTTTTCAATCATTAACAATCTTCTATTATTTAATGATTACTTTAGTAATTATTCTAAACTACTCTGATACTATACGCACACTTTGATTAATTGTTAATTTATGTTAAAGTATAAATAAATAATGTAATAAAAAAATTTTTTTTTGTTTTGATTTATTTTGTACACAATTTTAAAAAATCTGATGTGATCAGCACATAACCGATCGCAGTATATATTATCTAGTCAGTTGTACAAAATTTTGAAAATGCCTTTTAAATATTTCTTTCAAATTTTAAAGAAACTAGTAAGTTATCAATTAAAATACCTGGAAAAATGTTAAATTTCGGTCTTAGTAGAGTTTCCCTTCGTCCTCTCCGAATTCTCTGAAAAGTTCGTAGGGCTGTTTCGGTAACAACCAGAACTCAAATATTGAATTTCAAGAAATTCCATCAATTAGTTCCGTAGATATGGTAAGAAATTCGAAATTTACCCCTAGTTTGGTTTGCGAGCCCTGATATTTTCAAAAAAATTTTCTCTTTAAAAATAGTTTATTTACATTTCCCTTCCACGGAAAAGTTTGTTTCCACCGAACACTTGATATACATAAAATTTCTTCCCATCACATAACCTCCCTTATTGTATGCAATGCGGTCGGTAAAAAGTGAGGCTATGTTTTGTTATTATTTTTCATTGATATTTTTTTTCTTTCCAATTTATTATCACTTGTCCCAATGATTTATATTTAAACACACTCTATAATTATTATATTCTACATACATTAATGGGGCTCAGAAATACAAAGTAATTCAATATTCAATTCAATATTGACGCAAGAATTAAATTTTGATTTTGCTTAGCTTGTGTATTAGATTTTGGCATATTTTACATACAAATTTTTCTAGCAATTTTATTTTTAGAATTTTAATAATATTAAAAATTAAATTAAATTAATTTACGCACAATTTGATGACATCAAATAATTTAATTGCCCATCAATTTAGAATTTTTTTTTTATTTTTCTTTTATAAAAATTAAGAAAAAATTAAGAAAAAAAAATAGAAAGTAACTAAGTAATTGTGCCATAAATAATTGTTTAATTTGAAACCATTGATAATTTAAGTGGGAATAAATTTTGAAAATTTTAGAGTTTCAAATTATGAATCTAGTGCTATTTGGGGTTAATATCTATATCTGGCTTTTAAAATAATTAAAATTTTATTAAAATACAAGAAATATAATAATATGAAGATCAAGAATTCCTAAATAATCGAGAGTTTCGTCTTAACAATGCAAAAAGTACCACGATCAGAACATATTTTTTTAGAAATATTAGGTAGATATTTCAAGTTACTGCAAGGCTCCAGATAAGTGAAATTGGTTTATCATGAAGATTAGAAAAATCTCTTTTAGTAAACTAGATCACAGTTTGTAATTGTATTGACATGGATATTGCAAATGAATTAAAAACTATTGTAAAATTTTTTTAACAGAACTAAAATTTCCTTCCAAGTTTTCAGTAGCTCGTCACATATGTAAAAGTAATGTGATCAGCTTAATATAAAATCTTTCGTTTAAAAATCATATTGTTTCTATTTTGTTTTAATTCTCTTATCGCAATTTATCTCAGAAAATAAAAAAAAAAAATTCAAATTTAAAAAAATGAAAACAAAATTAATAGATTAAAATTAAATTAGACTTTACTTACTTCTAAAATAATACGAGTTTGAATAAAATATGTATATGTTTCTTAATTCGAATTGTGCAGGCTGTTCTTAAAATAAAATATCTCGAGCCTTGTATTTTGGGATCCCCGTATACACGAGGCGACTGCAAATATAAAAATGAAATATCAATATGAATAATTCCAGTTTATACTGGAATTTTTTTAGAGTTCGTTTTTCAAAAATTAGTGAGAACATAATAATTTGCAAAATATGTATTTTGTTTGCAGTCACCCGAAATTTGTTCGACACTTTAAATAGAATACCTGAAAGAGTACAAGAGGGCGTTACACTCTGCCAAAAAACAAACTAGGAGGGATTTTGCTGAAGTGAGGAAGGCACAATCAGCAGATTACTATCTAAGCAGCATTAGAATGTTTTGTATCTGAAAAACATCGATGGATGAAGGGTCCATAGATACCCCTACCTTACTACTCAATATGAACAGCTTAGGGAATAAAAATTAACGAATTATTCTGAAAAGTAGGTACCGTCCGAATACCAGAATAGTAGTTTTCTGAATTTTTCTTTATTCAATCATTCTTCAGTTTTTTAAACACCCTGTTTATTGTAACAGCGCTATCGAATTAATTCCACAATATTTATTATTATCGAATATGTATGTATGTATGTATATGAAACATCAATATATTATGTATGTAGTTTAAACGTTATTGTTATCAAAAAATTGTTAGACAAAAACAAAAATCAAATAAAAAGTCTAAATGTAACATTAAAAAGTAAAATTACGAGAATTTCTTATCAGTTAAGGGAAGAACTTAAAAGATGGGAATGCTAAGGCGTAAGCAAAAAAAAACATCTTTTTTTTTTGTTTTTTCCTTTCTTATTTTTTGACGGCATAAAGTATAGAATTGTTACTTGTTTTTAATTAAATTGAGATTTCAATGTGTAAGTTTCTTTTTAATAAATATGCACACACATAGATACCTACATATGTATGTATATATTTTAAAAGGCTTAAACTGAATCACGATTTTTATTTTTATCGCAATCACATTATGATTTTTAACAGTTTATCACCAATAGAACAAAATTAACAAAAAAAGTGAATTTTTTTGTTTTTGACATTAAAATATTTTTCAAAATGTCAAAAATGAGTTATTGTGTTATATATGTAGTAATTTCATTCTCAATAAAGTTGAGTTTCTGTGTATGAAATGAAAATAATTTGTATAAAGTAAAACTGAAATTATTGTGCGTGTTCAATTCACTTAAGTTCTAATCTAGAGACTTATGTGCTATTAATGGGTATTTAAACATAATACAGTTAATTTTCTGGAGTGTATATACAAGTTTATAAAAGAAATTCCATGTTGAGGACAGGACAATACTTTTTACCGACCGTATTGTGTATACAATAGGTAGGTTATGTGATGGCAACAAATTTTGCATATCGAGTTTTCGGTGGGAATGCACTTCTCCATAGTAGGGAAGTGTAAATAAACTATTTTTAGCAACCTGTCGGTCTGTCGGTCTGTCGGTCTGTCGGTCTGTGTGTGCACGCGTGTATCTCAAGTTCTACTGAACCGATTTTTATGAAATTTTATATGTAAGTTTATTTCCACCATGGCACGGATCGATCAACTTTTGGGATATATCAGGCCTCGGGAACTGCACTTTTTAGCGGGCCGGTTTTACATTTTTCACCATTTTAAAGAAACTATTCAACCGATTTGCTTGAAATTTCATATATAAGCTTCGCTTGACCGGCCGGGAAAATTCCTATGTTTTGGAAGAAATCAGGCATCGGCAACTGGACGTTTACTACGGGCCAAATATACATTTTTCTGTATATAAAGAGAAATAATCAACCGATTTCATTGAAATTTAATATATGAATTCCTCGTATTAAAATAATGAACATATAAATTTTTTGGAAAGATCAGGGCTCGAAAACTGATCTGCGGGCCGATTTTACATTTTTCACTATATCTACGGAACTAATTGATAGAATTTCTTGAAATTTGATATTTGAGTTCTGGTTGTTACCGAAACTAACTGACGAGCATTTCAGGGAATTTGGGTGGCACAAAGCGAAACTCTACTAAGAGCCAAATTTACATTTTTATAGGTATGTTAACTATAAGCTTATTAATGTCCTAAAAATTGGAAAGAGGTAATTAACAGGCATTTTTATAATATTCTGTAACACTTTCACTTAACTAGACAATGCACAATGCGGTCGGTTATGTGCTGACCACATCAGATTTTTATTATTGTTTATTCTACAAAACCAATTAAATTACAATTATACGTGTGTCCTCCTATAAATGTGATCAAAATATAATAAGTAAGAGCCGCTAAAATATATTAAAAAAATAAAATGATGCTTTTAAAAGAATACGTTAGATACAATAATGAGAAATTTGACAGAAATTCAATAATGACATTTGTGACAGAAATTTAGTAATGACATTAGAGATAGAAATTTCGTAATTTCCAGATGTCAGGATGCAAATTTATAAAAAGAATCTAAATTTTATAAATTTTTTCATCCAGGAGTCCTATGTTTGTTAAGTTTTACCGTTTTTTCGTATAATTTTGTCTTTGACATAATCCATTTTAAAAAGTTTTACTGTATATCAAAACTCTGTTCTTTTAAATATTAAATCTTCCTTAAAAAATTAGTAGATATTTGGTCAGTTGAGTGACAACATTTGTAATTCAATTGCATTACGCTATTTTAAGTGAAATAAAATCAGCAATTTTACATTTTAAAGCTATATATCAATTGCCGGTACTTTATCAGTCTAATTTAATGCAACGTTGCAATAATTTCTTCTACTTTATGCATATAAAATATACATATGTATATGTGTATGACAGTTATGCGAA